TTTTCGTTTTCTGGGATTCAAGTTTAACTAGTAAATACCAAAAAGTGTTTTTACAGTAGCTAACTAGCCAGTAAAATCAAGATATGAAAAATCTAAGCGAGTTAGCACTATTTCATTGACAATTTGAGGTATAAACTAGCTCAAACTGTGATGCTCTTTCTGCTAGTCAGTTGTCTGTTATCATACAGAAGTACAGTACTGGTCAAAAGTTTGGAAACATTACTATTTTAATGTTTTAAACATTGCATATCGTTTGCTCATCAAGCATTCATTTATTTGATCAAAAATACAGAACAAAACTGTAATGTTGCGCAGTATTACTGGTATTACAATTTTAAATAATGGTTTTCTGTTTTAATATACTTTAAAATATAATGTTTTTCTGTGATGCAAAGCTGAATTTTGAACATCATTACTCCAGTCTTCAGTGTCACATGATTCTTCAGAAATCATTCTAATATGCTTATTTATAATCGAGTTTGGAAACAGTTGTGCTGCTTAATATTTTTTTTGAGTTAAAAAAAGAACAGCGTTTATTTAAAATAGAAATCCTTTTTTTTAACAATACACTACCATTCAAAAGTTTGGGATCTGTATCTTTTCTTTTTTTGAAATAAATTAATACTTTTATTCAACAAGGATGTTAAATTAATAAAGTAATAGTAAAGACTTATATTGTTAGAAAAGATTTCTATTTTGAATAAACACCGTTCACAAGTTTTCATTCATCAATAAATCCTGAAAAAAGCATCACAGATCCCCCCACAAAAAATCCAAAAATGTCATTTTAAAAATTTGTATTAGTTTGAATGCATGTGAGCCTATGATCAAACAAAATTATTTGTTTGTATATGATAGTTTTATAAATTTCCCCAAATTTCCAATTAATTCCCATAAATTCCTGGTACGTTTCAAACTTGGAATATTTCCAAAATTCCCCAGGCGAAGTTCCCATGGAAAGTTTCCGCCCCTTTGCAACCCTAGTAAAAATGCCCCTTCCCGCACCCAAAACAAAGTTATCGGTGCATGAGGCATGAGCACCCAAAGAAAGGGCTGGTGGGAAAATAGCGGTCCTTCGCCACTTCACAGAAGACGAGTGGAAGGAGAATTTTAGGATTACATGAGTCATGCAGCTTGTTCAGTGCATCATTAGCTACGTTTACATGGCCAGCTTTTATTTCAGTCAGAATGAAATCTTTCCGATTGATGAGTCCAAACATAGTGTTTACATCAACACTAAATAAAGTGATTCAGTTGATGTGCATGTTTATGTCAAGCTTCCAGTCGGATTTGATCTTTTGACATGCGCACACTCCTCGAATATACAGAGTTTCCTGCTGTTTCAAGACATGCATATTAGCCGTCCTTCTGCTTCTTTTCTTTGTTTTAAAGAGCAGACATATCTATTTATCTATTTCAGATCCTAATTAAGAGACGATGAGCACATGAAGCTAGAGGTCTGCGCGGGACTGTTTTTTTAGTCCCGCTCCCGCAAGGTTCTATTCCGCACCCACCCGCTCCCGCTATATATTCACTCTTTGTTCACCCGCTGTCCACTTAGAATAATTTTCTTCCTGTCACATTTAAATTTCCGCTACTGAAAGAAAGAGAGATGGGCTGACAAATAAAAGTGTAGTCTGCACAAAATTGTATGTTATTTTATTCGTCTTGTCAAGAGTCTTGAATTTATTGACTTTGACTTGAATTTATATGAATTATCTTAAGACACAAAATTCATTTAATTTATTAAACACAGTAGGAAAAAGTGTCAGAGAAAATAAAAATGTACAAAAATTGTATTTCTTATTTTTATTCGTCTTGTCAGGATACAATTCGTTTAACATTGACAACACAATAGGGAAAAAGTGTCGCAGAGAGAAGAAAAAATAAAAATGTAGGTTGTACAAAAATAACCTATTAGCTATATCTTGTCAAAATACTAAATTCGTTTGACATTTTTCTGTTAACACCGTAGGAAAAGTGTCGCAGAGAAAAATAAATAAATACGACATCTTTCATTTAAAAATATAGGCTAAGCAAAAACCGAATTGAACATCCTTCAAGGACAGCGCATCCACACTTTGCTCCATCCTTATTCTGCAGAAAGTGCATAGTCCGAGTGCAGGCTACCGGTGGTTGATAAGAATAAAGCGCAGATATGCTGTTCTAAATGGACGTCGGGAACGGGATATTGTTAGACCGCCCGCTCCCGTTCAAATTACACCAGA